TAACGTTGAAATGACGTTTATTAAACGTTTTTTCAATGTTATTTTCCTGGAGTATTGCTGTTGCTCACTTCTGCCCGGGTTGGTCGGACCAGGTGGACGGTATAGAGAGGCATTCGTCTCCGCCGTGGAAGAACCGCAGCACCTCGCCTCCAAACACGCACGCTGCGGTTGGAAGACGATGTTCACGTGAGGATTGCAAAATAGGCCTATAGATCGTTAATGTGACATGGAATGCATAACACAATAGTTTTCTTCGACCCAAATAACGTCAAACCAATGAGTTCACAAATCTTCAATTTGTAGTGATTCAACTATTCATGCTAGATCATGTGCTGAACTGGGTAGGTGACTTGAATTCTGTGGACGAGAGGCAGTGAAACTGATATAGTAAGGTACGTAGCAATAATTTATTAGGTAATGAAGTCTCCAGGATAAATTCTGTGATTGCAGGACCATGCAATATGCATTAAACCAAACGGCAGCAAATTTAACCATTTCGCCAACCTCAAAAATGGCCCAAAATAAAATAGAAACATATGGTATCTCTGAAACATCTCGTCGACACTTCAAAAAATTAACTTACCATGACCTGCACAAGCCCGTCACGCTTACAAATAAAAATTCAGTTTAGATACGCAATCAGAATGCTTTAATTTACTGAACATGACTGATGCCCCGGTGTCCGTAACTCGTCCAAATACGGAGAAAGTACGCGGGGATGCAAAATCGATTAAAAAGCTCAGTGGTTCAAGAATAGTCGTGAAAGAATTTGTTTACAATAGTGGAGTCAACTTTGATCAGGCCTGTCGCCGGTTCTAAGCTCGCCCACTTTGCAATTTGACAAAAATTTTAACAATTACTTGCGGGTTTCGTATTTCGCTTTTGTGATCTTGGTGATCCTATTCAATCGGTCACCACGAGAATGCTCAAGTGTTGTACAAAACGGGAATTCTTGAAGAGATGTCCTAGTACCTAGTTCGTAACTCTGGGACGCTAAACTAGACCCGGAGCCGTAATATAATAACTCGCAGAAGAACAGTTGAATGCCTAAGTACACGTAGCGGTCGATTTCTCGTCTGTGATTGGTAGGTGTAGCTTGAAAAGCCGTCTGTGATAGTGTGACGGAGTTACGCAAACGTAACTATCTTCGATAGCACGGCCCCTGAAGTTCATTATTTCAATACGTCCTGGGGACATACTTTCCAAATTTGCTAAGTAAGTACTTACGCTCGGTTTTCTTGTCTATAATTGGTGGATTTTGCTTGAAAGGCCGCCAATGATTGGCTGATAAACTTACGATCTCATAACTTTTTTTGAAAGTATAGGCCACGGGCACCAGCGCTCACCCACAAACTTGAGGCGGGAGAGGCCGGTGCCAAAGGGTGCCACCGACCAATGCGTGACGTGGAACGATGCGTTGACGATGCTCTGGTCGTCCTCCTTCGTCGCTTGCTGCCCGACGAAAAGTGACGTTATCAAAAACTCATTAGGGCATGATGATTTGATGAAGATTTAGACGATTTTAATCGTGATGATTCGATAACAACTGAATTTAACAAGCTAAGTTAATCAGAGAATGGCTATAATGGAGGAATTCAAAGTGAAACGAAAAGAAGGAGACACAAATACAGAAGAGTTTAAATTTTTCAATAGAAATAAACAAATTTCAACTTTTGGAGCAATCAACAACGATAAAAAGCCATCTGCTTGAACGTGGTGAACTAACAATTTTTTTTTCATTCACAAAAATAGTTTTGTTCTGTTGTAAAATATATTGTTGTTTAATCCTCATTATGCTCATGAATGCTTTACTAAAAACATAAATACCTTCCAGAGCAGATCAATTAGGCAATAAGACTCACCAAATATCGCTCTGTAGCAACCGACACTAAGATGAGGTCGTCACCCACGCGCACCTTCTCGCCCTCGGACCGCTGCTTGCTGGCGGGGTGGATGGTCCACCAGCAGGACTCACCTGTTGCAAACGGCACATGTACTGAGAAACTACACACAGACAGTCTCTTACAAACGATAAGAGTACCTGGCTTGTCCAGGGTGTTGTGTAATGCAATAAAATGGTTCTGGCGGGTCAGCGAGCCAGTGATGGTCGTAGAACTACCATCGGCACCAAGTGCCCGGAAAAACTGACCTATTACCCCCCCTTCCTAGTCGCCACTACCAGGATGGCAAAATAAGCCAAAAAGGGTAATTACACACACACAAAAGGTAAACTCGAGCAACAGATACTAAATGCTGAAATTAAATTACATTATAATATTGAGATGGAATTACTACCTACAAAGCATCTCAAGTTGAAATAACTTTGAACAAATCTCGTTCCAACGAAATCATGTCGTTGACAACATGCACGATAGTCAGAAAAGGCGATCCATCGTGGCCTTTGACTGCTACGTCCGAAACGTGTACTAAGTATAGTAAGGATACTAAGGATAGTAATGATAGTAAGGATACTAAGTATGGTAAGGACACTAAGGACAAAGTCGTTGCGACGTCATTGGCGTTGCCTTTCTAAACGGTAAAATTAAATAACACGGAAATGCAAAAAATTACTATACACTATAGGCACTTGACGCTGGAATAACGTTGATTCAACATTGTTTCAACGAAATCAACTCGTTATTACCGTTGTTTCAACGAAGTAGACTTGCACCAACGTTGTTTCAACGTCATTTGCCTCGAGAATAATATCAGCAAGGCACAGAGCGGTGAGCATAGACTTGAAATACTTAGCACAATATCGAACCCGGTGTAAGTCTAGTAGCTATTTCAAACTATCGTCAGTCCTGAAAAGATCCGGTTAAATGACACAATTTTAGATCTTCTGTGAACAAGTCATGAAAAATACAAAAATCGGCGACAGGTCACATCAGGCCTACTCTTCAGCGCTAGCATCACTATGTTATGTTATGTTAAGAAAAAAAGGCTTAGAGTCCAGCCTTCATACTTCATAGTTGCCCGAGTCGCCGCAATGGCCACTGTGTTTCAGCAGAGTGTTTATAATGTTTAATCTTAATTGGAGTTCACACCCGAAGCTAATATACTGGGAATTTATGATATATTCAGTACTTCTTCAGTACCTCGTCATTTTAATTGTGACTGTTGCATGGTGAAAATCCTGACAGAAATATTTTCAGTTAAATCCGTATAGCAGCTGAAATTATGATGGCGCAGCTCCCTAGCTGAAATTCTTTCACTAAATATAAGTTCAACTTACTCTACGCCTTTCGCGATTCAAAGATTCCATTTCGGTTTTGAAAAATGAAACAAGGGATAAAATATATACACTACCATGTGTCAAAACATAACGGCTATTGGCTTTATATTGGCTAAAATATGACACTCACAGTAATGCCACTATACATATAAACGCATGGTTAAAAAACCTGAATTAAAAAATGTTATTTCGAATGAAATTTACAAGCCGGATTCATTCTGGAAAAAAATTACTTTTATTTGTTGCCAATTTGTATTTTAATTGAAGTATACTAGCACAGACGAAAATGTACGGCAAAGTTGCTCATGCGTTACTTTGCATTTAATAATTCTAAGAACTCTGAATTACTGAACCTGTAAAAATAATAAATTACTGAAGTTGAATTCTATAATGAAACATAGAACCCACTACCTCAGGTTGGACCCTCAGGTTAGTAGGTCGTCACCTTGCGAGTGCTCCTGAAGACCGACGTCGAACGCCAGCTTATCGCGGGACGAGCTCGTCGAGAGACATGCAAGGTACTGCACGGTANTCAATCAACGTCTGACTGATCAATCTACGTCTGACTGATCAATCAACGTCTGACTGATCAATCAACGTCTGACTGATCAATCAACGTCTGACTGATCAATTGATTTAAAAGAACATATATATGCCAAGATAGGAACAACTCTGAGCGTCACTGACCATGCTGGAGTTCTCGTGGTGCAGCAGCACAGCGTTGCCGTAGAGCAGCGTGCGGTGTCCCGACCCTGTCCCTTTACCCTGGGGATACAATGGGGAAGATGGAGCATTGGGGCTAGTGGAGACGAGGGATGAGATGACTGGAATGGGATAAGGAGTGATAGGTATGGAGGAATGGGAAGGGAATGAGAGACGTGGTGAGAGGCATGGAAGAATGCAAGGGGAATGAGACATGTGGTGAAAGGCATGGAGGAATGACAGTGTGATGAGAGGGGATGAGAGGAGTGATGAAAGGCATGGAAGAATAGGAGGAAAATGAGACGAGGAGTGAGATGCATGGTGGAATGGCAGGGGAATGAGAGGAACGGTGAAAGCATAGAGAAATGGGAGGGAAAAAGGGGAATTAGAGGGAACGAGAGGAGAATAAGAGGGGAAAGAGAGGGGAAAGAAAAGGGACATGATAGGGAAATAATAGAAGAATTGAATGATAGAGGAATTGAATGATAGGGGAATGAAAGAAGTGGTGAGAAGCATGGAGATATAATCCATATAGTTTAGTAGCTGGTATAGCAGCAGGAGAACCTAAATAAAAAGAGAATGCAATAAACATAAAATAAGATAGAACAAAGCATTATGCCACTGGCGGCAGGGAATTTACTAATGACGATGTCAGTAACAAATGCGCATTAAGTGACAGTTCGACTACGAACCTTGTCACGGGAAGCGGCGAAAAATAAAAGAATAATTTTTTGTTCGTGAGAGGAGTAAAGCAGAAAAAGTGAATGAATGCGAGCGCCAAGAATCGCAGCGGTCACTTTGAATAAATACGGAAAATCAAGCCACGAGGAAAGTGTGCCTACGTAAGTCAGGTCAGAATTTTTGATACAAATTCGAGTGTTTTTAAGATGCCAAAAAGCGAGAATGGGTTGTAGCATGAAATTAAGCCCTTTAAAAAATTCGTGTACAAAATATTTAAGATAGAAAAGAAGTGAAAATGGGTTTTGTAGCACGAAATGAAGCCCTCCAAAAAATTCTTGTATAAACATTAAACATAGTAAAAAAGTGAAAATAGGTTTTGTAGCACGAAATGAAGCCCTCTAAAAAATTTGTGTACGAAC